TTTTATTTTTTTTATTTTTCAATTTTTTTTACGGGCCCGCGGCCCATGGGGGTGCAACCCGCGAAACCCGCGGGTTACACCTCCTTGGCCCGTAAACCGCCCGCGCGGGTCACGGGTCGGCCCGCGGTCCCGGTTTTCACGGGCCGGTTTTTACGGGTCATGGTCGGCCCGTCCGTCTTGACACCTCTATCCGAATGGTTCATAGATTGAGCCAACTAACCGAAGCTCGTAAGCTAGCAAGTAGCTCAACCCTTTTGCTACCCATATATGTAATTGTACAAAGTTGGCTAAAAATAACAGCTTCAACGACACAATGAGAGACATTGCATGTCTTGAATGCGTATGTGAGAGTGAGTGAGAGAGAGAGAGAGTAAAGTGTTGACAAAAGTTTCTACATATTGGTGGGAAACATAGATATGATAACAAAGGAAGTAATATACGTATGTTCATGATGCTGAAAATTCTTCAAAAGATAATGTCGGCTAATCAAGCTTAAAACAAAATCGAAAATGGATATCGTTGAAATAATCCAACCTTAAGAGCAAGATTTGTGCATGAAATAGAAATGAAAATTGACCAGTTTGATAGGGCAGTGGGTGCAACAACCGGACAGGGCTGAATTAAGTTGGCCCCTGCAATCTTGACTATTAAAACCTAAAACTGCCAACCTTGGAACCACCATCTCTCTCCTATTCTTCCGTATAAAAAGAATTCCTCTCTCTCATTAAACTTCACAAATCAAATATTCATTCATTTCATTTCCTGTCATCACTTTCCACACTGACAGTTTATGTCAAAAACTAAGTGATTATGGAAGCAAATCCCTTCTACTTCTTTCTGTTCCTCCTAATATTCGCAAGCGCGATGATGATATCTAGTGCGAACACTCAATACCACGATTTTGTAGTATGTCATTTGTCTGACTTTTGCTTTGAAGTTTCTTGATTTTAGGGAGTCGGCAGATTTTTAACTGCTATTATGTAATGTGCAGATTCAAGCAACACCGGTGAAGAGACTTTGCAAAACACACAGAACTATTACTGTGAATGGGATGTACCCTGGACCAACATTGGAAGTGAATAATGGTGACACCCTAGTGATCAATGTTGTTAATAGAGCTCAATACAATGCCACCATTCACTGGTAATAACTTCATGCATGCATGTTTATACATACAATGTTATTATATTTCTTTTATACTTTAAAATTAACTAAGTATAATTAAGTCACAAATCTTCTCTTCTTGTTCTTATAGGCATGGTGTACGACAAATAAGAACTGGATGGGCTGATGGACCAGAATTTGTGACGCAATGCCCTATTAGACCAGGAGGAAGTTACACTTACCGATTTACAATTCAAGGACAGGAAGGGACACTTTGGTGGCATGCCCACAGCTCGTGGCTCAGAGCCACTGTGTACGGGGCTCTCATAATTCATCCCAAGGAGGGAGATTCTTATCCTTTTCCCAAGCCAAAACACGAATTTCCCCTTCTTCTTGGTAATGAATTCCTCGATTTAGATATACATTTTAATCAAAGTTTTCTTCGAATAATTTCATTCAGTGATGATGAAACTTTATATATATTTAGGTGAATGGTGGGATGCAAATCCAATTGATGTTATTAGGCAAGCCACAAGAACAGGAGCTGCTCCTAATGTTTCTGATGCCTACACCATCAATGGTCAACCGGGAGATCTATACAATTGTTCCAGCAAAGGTACATGTACAAATTTTGTCATTATTGTTTTTCTAGAAGTAGAAAGAGTTAGCAAAATGTCAACAAACAGGTTTGAAAATTACATCAAGAAGGGAAATGTAATCTGCCAAGAGGAGAGAGAGAGAGAGAGGATTACATGCTTATCTAAATTCTTTGCAGGGAATTAATTTAATTTTTCCAGGGAACTTATTTAAAATTTGATGTTATACAGATACAATCATAGTTCCTGTGGACTCTGGCGACACCAATCTCCTCAGAGTCGTCAATTCTGGGCTTAATCAACAGCTTTTCTTCAGTGTTGCCAACCACAAGCTCACGGTTGTCGGAGCAGATGCCTCCTATGTCCAGCCGTTCACCACCTCGGTCCTCATGCTTGGACCAGGCCAGACCACTGATGTTCTGATCACAGCAGATCAGCTACCAAGCCGATACTACATAGCTGCACGTGCATATGCCAGTGCTCCTGGTGCACCTTTTGATAACACTACCACCACAGCCATCCTCGAATACAAATCTGCCCCTTGTCCTGCCAAAGGTGTTCCGGGAAAACCAGTAATGCCAATTCTGCCAGCATTCAATGACACAGCCACTGCCACTGCCTTCTCTAAAAGCTTCAGAAGCTCAAGAAAAGTTTTAGTACCCACTGAAATTGATGAGAATTTGTTCTTCACGGTTGGTCTAGGACTCAACAACTGCCCTATAGGTTCCAGTTCTGCAAACTGTCAGGGTCCAAATGGAACTCGATTCACCGCCAGTATGAACAACGAATCTTTTGTGCTCCCCTCCACCTTTTCCTTGCTGCAAGCACATCAGCAAGGTATACCTGGCGTTTTCACAACTGATTTTCCAGCAACTCCTCCAGTGAAATTCGATTATACGGGTAATGTGAGTCGGTCACTATGGCAACCAGTTCCCGGGACTAAGTTGTACAAGTTGATGTATGGGGCGAGAGTACAATTGGTGCTGCAGGGAACAAGCATCTTCACGACTGAGAACCATCCAATTCATCTTCATGGATATGATTTCTATATCATTGCTGAGGGCTTTGGAAATTTTGACCCAAAAAATGATGCAGGCAAATTCAACCTTGTAGATCCACCTCAACGTAATACTGCAAGCGTACCTGTTGGTGGATGGTCCGTGATCAGATTTATAGCTGATAATCCAGGTGAAAATAAGACATAAATAGCACAAATATACATGTATTTTCTCTACTTTATCTGTCAAACTGATATATATTTAACAAAAACAGGGGTCTGGTTGATGCACTGTCACTTGGATGTCCATATCACTTGGGGTTTAGCAATGGCTTTCCTAGTGGAAAATGGAGTAGGGGAATTGGAAACCTTAGAGCCTCCTCCTGCAGATCTTCCCCTTTGTTAATTCCATCTGATACAATTTAATGCCCTGCAAAAAGGGTATGAGTTGCCCTGCATTGAGGGATAGTTTTTTTTTTTTTTGTCTTGGGTGTAACATTAAGCACCATCTATCCCTGCATAACACAAGTATTGTTTCAAGAGAATAAAATAATTTCTTTTGTAAAATATTTTTGGATGTTCAGAAGATTTAATTCTGGTCTTGTTTAAGCAACAAAAAGCACGAAAGAGGACACCTGGAAAAGCAATATGAAGTCTAACAGTTAGAGAGCCAGAGAACAGAAGAGAAACTACAACTTTAAGGAAGGTTAATCCATTCAGTTTGAACGCTAATCCAAATACGTTCATCCAAAACTTTAAGGAAGACTCTCATTCGAACTTTCCAATAAGTATAGTTGATTCCGTCGAAAAATGGAGGCACAGACAATGACTTACTCATCTAGAATTAATTAAGGGTCAGGAAATGAGATAAGACTCTGAAGCCTAAAAGATACGCAAGGACAGATAATATCAAAGGCTCGCTGAAGAAAAGGGGTGAACCTTCGGCAAAGGCCGTTGTTAAAAATATATGTGAGCAAATATGAAAAGTATGATTTCTAAACCATTGAATAGCATGTGAATACATTATTCAATTAGTTATCAATCTACTACTATACGATCGCCACCTATCATTCTCTAGAATGACCCAAAGTTTCCACGAAAATCTAAATACTCCCATTTAAGAAAAAGAAGGCATGCAAAATTCGAATATCTCTCTCCCAAATAGCAATTTCCCCTCTTACTCTTGTTTGAGCATCGAATTTGGTAAGTTTAGGAGGAGAAAATACTTAATAGGTGAGAGGAATTTGTTGATCGTAATTTTATTGTCAACAAATTAGCACCATCTGTTGGAAATTAAACAAAGAAAACCACATATTTGTCCATTTAAGTTGAGGGAACACTTAATCTACAAATGATGAGCCAAAAGAAAGAGAAATTTTTGAAAATTGGAATAGAAGAGCACAGCGACAATCCAATGAATAGCGATACGAATCCAAAGCAACTACGAGAAGAAACACTTGTAAATTTACATACCGATATTTTTCTCGCTCAACGTCGTCACTTATGGAAGAAGATATCCCCAAGTATCTAGGGCCCCTGTATTAAAAAAAAAATTATGAATTTAAGGTAATCCTAAACTACATCTCTTTCTATTACATTTGAAATAATGATGATGAACGAGGAATCGTATATCCCCACAATGACGTATTGGTAATGCGATCCGTAATAGCTTGCAATGGTATTAACCATCTATTAGAGGACAATATTCTTGTAAGTACTCTATTTAGAAACTATTTTTGGTCAAATGTAGGTTAATCACCCCTGGAGGCAATAGTTGAACTTTTGTATGACTTTACTGCAAAAGATTGGCTCCAAAAAGACGGATCACTTTGGCAATTGGGCAGACTAAAGGTGAGTTTTCTTTCGCCAATGACATTTTAAATCGAAGGCGAGATCCACTCCACCAAGGAAACACGGGGACTATATTCCACCCCCAAAGATCAACCATGAAGGGTGAGGTCAAATCCGCCCACATGGAAGTTTGATATCATGACAAAAATTCCTTTAGTTACTCACATAATACTTGTATAATGAAAAGCCATAAGAAAAGTCATGATCATGATCATGATCCCTTGTTCCTTATGCTATTGTAATAAATGATTGAATAATATTTTATATTTGACAAATTATATTGTTAATATGTAAATTTAGCTTAAATAGGGTAAGCTTAAATAAACTAATCAAAATAAACCGTTTCTTACAAGAACAAATGACAAAAGTTTCACTACAACTGGAGGAAGAGACAAATTCAAGCTATTTCTCTAAACTAACCAAAAATTCAATATTCCACTCGACGTAAAAAATCCTAAAGATATCAAGAACTTTATTACCCCCTCATGCATAGCATCCTCAACAAGTTTCTCTCGCGTCCACTTGCTTCAGAGAGGTTCGACTCTGCAAGAGCCAATTTTATTCTCATTGTTCTCTAATTGATTGGAAGTGAGGCTATTTCATTCCTCATATTATCAAGGTGTTTAGAAGTAACATACTGCTTAGACCTTATCAATTAGAGCTCCTCTCTAAGATGTGAACTTCGCATTTAGTCGTGGTGACATAAGTTGCATGGCTCTCCTTGCCAATTCCCAATCCTTGGAGTGTTAGAAATGTAAATCATATCTAAAACCGAAATCAAATCTTGATGCAAATATCCTAGATTAAAATCACCAAAAACCTAGAATCTACATCATGCCAGAATATTATGATTCACAGATTCAGGTTATATACCTGGATCCATTATGAACAATTAGTAACCATTGCGGAATTATTATGACAATTGATCACGTAGTGATGAACACAAACGAAGGGGTGTGGTTTGTGATCTTCCTTAAACCAAATCGCCTTATTTTCTCAATGGGACCGTCGTCTCTCTTCCAATGGGGAGAAGGGAAACTATGTAGGATTTGATGTGTTGGAGACCATAACCAAAATAATATTTTTATATTGTATAGTTAAAGTTCCTATAATCCCCTATTTATAACAATATTGGTACCTACTCAATTAGCTCATATTTATTATAATTGAATTAAATATGTTGCCATTAAATGGAAAAAAACATTGGTTTTCCTAAACTCCTAAATATTTAGAAGTTCCATTAAATTAGAAAAACATTTGGTTTTTCTAACCTCCTAAATAATTTAGAAAACCGTTGGATTTCCTAACAATCTCCCACTTGGCTACATATTATTCCTAAAACAATTATATTACAAATTCCTCAAGCGCTTATATGTATAGTCTATTTATCCTTAAACTTCTCTTTAAACAATCTGGTCCATCTTATATATTAATAATAGAACCACCACAACTTTTATCACAATACAGTCGTGATTAAACCACGATGATCACTATACTAATACACTTAATGACATAGATCAAATATGGATGAGTAGCATGAAAATTACATGAAATGTGATCTCAGACATGCCTATTTCCAACTGGTCCTTCTTTACTCTTTAGTGAGATCATTCCAAAATCCTTAATGCAACGCGAACATTGCACATAGAAAACACAAGCAAGCTCAGAAACAGAATCATAAACCATCAATTTCTTATTCTGCAGAAAATCAAACAATCCAATGTTTAGAGCAAACATATAGTACATAAAAAAAAAAGACTCCCACTAGACCAAGACATCCTAAAAGAAAAGGCCCATGTGAGTAGTGTGCTCATGAAAGACGTTAGGCGTTAATCCCTTGGTTAATAGGTTTGCTATCATAGAATCTATACCTATATGGTCAATAAAAATTTGGCTATCCTTAGCAAACTTCCATGAGATAGCTCCTCAGCCAACATAAAGATGTAGCTTGATGCAGAGCGTCTGCTATCTTGGCATCCTATAAAATTGGAGTCAGAGAACTTGATGACCTCTAAACTGTCTGATCTCCGATAAGTGAGCATGTTGTCTTTTGTTCTCTTCAAATAATGCATCACGCATTTGGCTGCCTTCCAATGTTGCATGCTTGGATCACTCAAATATCAACCCAAAAATTCGATTATAAATACTATGTCGGGACGATTACAAACTAGAGCATACATTAGACTCCCTACTACTAACGCATTGGGAATTTTCTGCATCTCTTTTCTTTCAAGATCATTATTGGGGCATTGTTTGAGACTAAACTTGTCTCCTTTAGAGATGGGCGTGTTTTCTGGTTTACAATCTTTCATGCTGAATCTACTCAAAACCTTATCGATATAACTCTTTTGTAACAACCTAAAAATACCTCGAGAACGATCTTTCATTATCTGAATACCTAATACAAAAGAAACGTCCCTAAGATCTTTCATCTCGAATTTCTTCGTTAGAAATTTCTTGGTTTCGTACAATAAGCCTATATTGCTACTAGCAAACAAAGTATCATCGAAATATAATAACAAGAAGATATATTTACTCCTACCGAACTTGTGATATACACAGTCATCAACAACATTTGCCTCAAAACCGTATGACGTGATGACTTGATGGAACTTGTGATACCATTAACGGGAAGCCTATTTGAGACCATAGATGAAATTTTTCAACTTGCAGATTATAGACTTTGGATCTCCTGATACAAAGTTTTCTGGTTTTACCATATAAATCATCTCATCAATGTCTCCATTGAGAAACGCCATCTTGACATCCATATGATGTAACTCCAGATCAAAATGAGCCAACAATGTTATTATTGTTCTAAAAGAGTCTTTCGAAGATACCACAAAGAAAGTCTCTTTGTAATCTAGGTCTTCCTTTTGAATAAACCTTTTAGCGACTAGACGAGCCTCATATCTCTCGACATTGCCCTTTGAATCCTTCTTAGTTTAAAATATCTATTTACAACCAATGGGCTTCACACCTTTAGGCAACTCGATAAGATCCCAAACGTCATTGTCTTCCACAAACTTTATCTCATCCTTCATGGCATCAATCCACTTCCGAGAGTTAGAACTATGCATGGCTTGATGGAATTTGATTGGGTCATCCTCCGTTAAACTAACGCTAACCTCATGTTCTTGGAGAAAGATGATATAATCATCTGGAATTGCATTTCTTCTCCCCCTAGTGGATCTCCTCAATGACACTTCTTGAGGTTGTTGACAATGTTCTATAAGTGGTATTTGAGGAAGAATCTCATTGTTGTCTTGGTCTGAAATAATGTCAGGGATATGAGCCTGAACATTGTCATTAAGTTTCAGAACTGTGTCTTGAACAACAATATGTGTAGAGATCTGATCGCCGTCAATAACAGATTCTTCTTCAAAGACAACAGTCCTTATGTTTTCTTCCTCCCAAACTCAACATCCTCAAGGAATCTCACATTTTTCGTTTCAAAGAAGGATCTTGATGTGGGATTGTAAAACTTATATCCCCAAGAGCGTTTAGCATAACCAATGAAATAGCAGCTGACCATCCTTGAGTTCAATTTTCTTT